TCCTGCTGTCAGGATTACTTTGGAGAATTAAGAGAGGATGGTGCAGTAATGGCCATTTGCTTGTCTGCAAGTGTTCAGGTGAGCAAAAGACTGGAACAAAGGGTTAAATCTTTAATATGGCTGAGAATAAATTGTGGTTCCTGTTGTTGTTAGTATCTCTTTCTGCAAGCCAAGTCAGCAGGCTCTATCTTTGTGGTATCTTTTGGGAAGAACTCAATATCCTGTACCTGCTCTTTCATTAACGTGCTTCCTCCAGCTGGTTCTTGCTGATGGTGGAGGCCATGTTGCGTCCATCTGCATAAACAAAACCTTTCGTAATTTGCTAAGGTAAATGTTGTGGGACAGGGTGATTTTAAAACTAGCTGATAATTCTGCTGCTCCAGACTGCTGTGCCCTTGGAAAGCAGAGAAGCAACGTGTAGCTGATGGATCTCTGGTAACAAAGAAGCCTGCCTGTTTTGCAAGTTTTTTGGGCTGCCTGTGTTAAAGGAAACAGTCCACCCTTGGGATGTGTCCCAAGCTCTGTGTCCCCAGGATTGACGTGCTGAAAGCAGCAGCTTCTGGTAGTACATGGCACTTTTCGAGGGAAGAAACATCGTTCTCTGCTTCCTCTCCCAAAGTGCTGCACAGGGGCTCTATGCCCCATTAATCCACAGTGCATTTTGTGTTAGAACTGGGGATGTATCAGAGCCAGGGGAAGGGATCCTGCCTGCGGGGACTGGCTTGGCCATGCATGTGTGTACGTGTACCTAAAGACCACTGATTTCCAAACCAAAGCAATCACTGTGTCCTCTGGCTGTGCTCCTAACCTAGGCTAGCTCATAAGCTATCTCAGCCTTTATCTTTCTGCGACCTGATAGCGGGTAGATTTTGAACTACACTATGTGATGGGTTTACACATAGACCAAATCATATTTTCCTATCTAAGCAGCTGCTAAAATTTTTATCATTCATACAGTACCAGCCTTCGTGCATACTACATGCTGGCCCCATTCCAGCTGTATTCTTAAGCAATCCCGTAACACTCCCCAGTTTTATTTGAATGCAGCGTTTCCTGGGCCTCACTCTGAAGTCTCCTGCCTGCTCTCGTGCGCTGGGGAACAGCAGCTGCCCTTTGCTCCGGGGCTGGCTCCTTTTTGGTAGGAGGTGAAGCGAGCGCACAACCTCCCTTGCTTTCCTGGTGATGGTGATGTGAGCTTTAATTAGATAGTTGCAGATTTGGGTCGGTGGTGTTATTAATGGGCAAGATGTTACTTTTTGTTAAGGACAAATCTAGAAGGTAGGCCGGAGCTTTCTGATTGCTTTTCTGGCAACTACATCACTAACCTTACAAAAAACCTGCTGATACACCTGAACTTTTCCAATGCTGTGTGATAGGATCTCAGCTTCTGCTGCTGTGTTTAAATCCAGTTTCACCCGAGTTACTCATTAAACGTACCACACAGGTATGCCTAATACAAGGGCATTATTTTTCACTGATAATAATAATTTTAGGCATATCCAGAAACTGTCCTGCGGAGCCCTCTGACACTTTCTCCTTTAAAAGCTGTGATAGCTCAGCTGATGCCACCATTAATTTTGTTACAAATCCCCAATGGGAAGACAGTGATGATAAGGACTGGGAAGCATGCCAGTTCTCTGAAAAAGGTTTACCTGTCTCATAAATTCCCAAGTATAGTGGAAGGAGGGAAGAAAGGAGAGAAGGAAAAGGTAAGAACACCTGGAGTGAAGCAGATCATTTGGGATAGTGCTGAGATGAGCAGGATGGTGCCAGACTCCTGCCTTGGGGGATAGATTTAGATAAGTGGGACTTGAACATCCTTCTGAAAATTGTTCTTGGGACTCTGGGTTCTGCTTACCCATGCAGCGGGGCTGGTCAAGTGGCATACATGTTGTGCTCCCTGGGTCTTGGGTCCTTGGAGCCACACATGTTCTGCTTGATTCAGCTGATCTCTTGATTATTTTCCCAGATCAGTAATTTAACTTCCATGTGCATGTTTTTAGCCTGGGGAGAGATAAAAGAAAAACCTTTTGATGAACGGGAAGAAAATAGTCTTCATTCATTGTTCTATGTGAACATTAAAAAAAACAGTTGTCTTTCTGCCTTTCTTTGGGTCAATCTAGGCACTGTTATGGTGAGGTTTCTACCTCAGAAAAGGCTGCATTTTGGTGGTATGGCAGAAAAGGGCTTACTGTGAAGACCATTAGCACTTCTGAGGATGAAAGGTGTTACGGAAACTCGGAACAGTGAATGCATGTGTTCTGGGGAGCTGCTGCCGGATGAGCGTACTCAGACAAGCAACCTGGAAGGTGCCAATTCCTTCCCAGATCTGTTGCTCTTGTAATCATGAGTCCTGGCTCACATCTGAGGGACTAATTTGGCTGAATCAACGTAGTGCAGCTGGGAGAGAGCCACAAATCCATCTCCAGTGCTGTTACTCTGTGTTTTCTTCACTCTAACCCTGTAAATCGGTGGACCTTGCTGAGCTGTAGGTTGGTGGTGGTCTCTGGTCAGTGGGCTGTAGCTCTTGAACAGTATGATGTTAAAAATAAACAAACTTAGGACACAGTACTCTGTGCTTTCGAAGGATCGCTGCAATTGGTTAGACATGGTACTGGTGCCTGCTGCCCAGCCATGCTTTCTGATCGCACTGGGTATTTTATTGTCCTGCCACATGGCTTGTCAGAGCAGAGTCAGTCTTCTGAGTGCTACAAGGCTGTCACTGCCTGCCAGTGCTAAATGGCAAATATCTACGTGTATATTCTGAGGAGTAGCATGAGCCCCGCAGGGTTATCATCCATCGCTCTCCCAACATCTCTAGTAGTGAGGCTTCCTTTGGGAAAGGTGGACAGATACAGTCCACTCTGTCTCAGACCTCTTTCAGCAAAAGCAAGTGAAGGTGCTGTTTGTAAATAGGTTTATTGCAGTCTGACGGTGCTGGAAGCATTGACACCTAGAAACTCACCCAGACACTAATCAAGGACCAGCTTAAATGAGTGACCTGCATGCAAATCCCACAGCCCTTAGTTTTTCAGACCTCGGCCCATCAGTTGCCATTCAAATCTCAGTGCGACAACAGCATGCTTAGTTATTCTGGTCAAACCTCCCAGCTGCTCCTGGCTGTTTTGTCTTTGCTGTGCTGAAACAAACCTGCTCAAGGGCTCCAGCCCCATTACGAGGACAAAAGGACATCAGATGTGCTGCTAGGGAA